AAAAAAAAAAAAAAAAAAAAAAAAAAAAAAAAAAAAAAAAAAAAAAAAATTGAGAAATGGTAGTATTACCATGCAGCCCTAGTTTCAGAAAGTCTCCTTTCTAGCTTGTGCTGCATAGGAATTTCACCCATCGGCAGCCAAAAGTGATCATCCTAGACCTGAATTTTGATGGGGCTGTGAAAAAAAAAAAAAAAGCTCTAGGGATTGCACTTTTAATGGAAGTTGGCAACTGGTTAGAAGCAGCCAGTGATAAGATGTTCTCAAATTTAAGAAACATCAATGATCATGACAGAGTTCATTTGTATAGTTGAGCTATTCCAATGTCCTGATGATGCCATTTTTCTTAACAGAAAGGCTACGATCTAAGGACTGAATGCTACACTATAGGAGGATTGAAGAGCAGGAAGAAGCATTCTTAACTGCATACACACAAGAACATACACACACACACAAGGATAGCTAAGAACATACACACAAGGATAGCTAAGAACATACACACAAGCACACCAGGAGTTAGGAATGCTTGGCAGTCAAATATTTCTTAACTGCATTTGTAGATTGATAAGCAAAATACTTTTGCCGAAGAATTACATAAGGATAACTAAGAAATGATAATATGTGGGCAGGCTTTGAGAAGGAAAGAATTTCATACCACACCTGGCTGTTCGAGTCCATCTCGATCGAAAACCGTTCTTCACCCGCCTGGAATGGTGAGAATTCAAGATCATATTAACTATCAAGTACATTAATACAAGTATAGTGAAACCCAATAATATAAATTAGAGAAGAACAAACGAAAATTAGCCTGGAAAAAACAAATTAATGATGGACGAACCAGAAGATGGCCTTGAAGGGTACCACTGCCAAAACTGAAACATGTCCTAGCCATATTGGTACCTCTGTTCTCATTTACATATACAATTTGAAGAGGCATCACCACCCATGGAAGGAACTCCTTGGCACAGACACAAAACTTCACTCCCGGATGAACTGGCGTTGAGGAATCAACAAATGCCCAATTCAACCCAAAATGCCTGCAAAATTTGCACTGGGTTGAAGAGACCAAGAATTCTCGTCTAATACGTTACTGTTCAACCAAAAGGTATATAGCCAGAAAACCTCCAGTTCTGAAGAGCTTTCTTCCCCTTTTCATAAGTCTCAACACCAGAACCCACCAAAATACGAGCATGGTTGAGAAGAAACCCTTCTTGTGAGAGCCCCTTATCTTCTTGCAGGCAAGAGCTGGGATTAGCAGTAGCTCCTCTAAACTTGCTGCTATAGTTGAAGGAACCAGACCTAATGATGAACATCATGTAACATTCCGTTTAGAAAAAGGAGACAAGCATATCTCTGAGAGTTTTCTTTTTCTTTTTTCTGGTTAGGGATGGGGGCTACAATCCTATCGTTCTTGCCTGTCAATGCACGTCTTCTGCTCCTGAGGAGATGGACGAGACCAACACAGGAAGACCATCTTTATCAACAACAGCAATATCCTTCAAACAAAATGTCTTATCACTAATACGGAGCAGATGGTTCAAAATTCTTCAGCGTTTGCACGAATTTTATCAGATAGACTCATAAACAGGCTAGCTCCAAAAAAATTTATAAATAAAAACGATTCAGGATTTTAGTTCCTTTCACTACCAAAGAGTTTTCATAAGAACACAGGAAAATACGATCCATGATCCAATTAAATCAAAAACCTCGGAATGATATCTCGTCTCGATCCATTTTCGTAGAAGAAATTTGATACAAACTGCTAAAGAATTCGAATCTAATAGATGAATAAATAGTACTAAATCTCATAAGAACCGACAATTTCATGCGCGTCGATTGAGACTTCCGAAGCAGAAGCAATCAAAATCCAAAAATCGAACAAGAAATTTGTAAGAACAGAAGTTGCGGATTCAACATAAGAGATTAGAAACGAAGCAAGCGGAAGAAGATACATACTGGATTGAAATTACTTCAGCTTCACCACTTCTGCGCTACCGCGGTTCTCTGAATCGCAAGCACAAAAGATAGAGCGCGAGAAAATTGGGTAGCGAATAAATAAAATAGTTTTTTAAAACAAAGAAAAACAATTATTTATTCCTTTGATAAATTATTATAATATACTTAATCAAATTATTTATTGACGTCATAAATATTAGGATTATATCTCAACTAGTAAATATTAATATATTACAAGTTACAAATGCAATATTCATATTTTACAAATAGATATTATTGTCCAAAAAAAAAAAATATTGAGTTTTCAATTTCCTCCGTTCGTTTTTTTTAATACAGATTTATTGAGAATACATCGAGGAAACCAACACGCTCGAGAGTAATTTTGAATATAGTTCTATTAGTTTTCAATAAAGTTCTAAATTTTTTATTTTTCATATTTTAGAATTTCTTTATAAAAGAAAATATCGATAAACTTAGCAACGGCTGAACGAAGCTATAAAACTCCACTTCACATAATTACTTTCATAATATAAGATCTCAATAATAGAAAAACCGTAAAATACGTCATTAAAACCCCACGACAAAAGAAAAAAAAACAAAAAAAAAAATTATAACAATTCAATTTAATCCCTACTATGAAAAATTACATCAAAATTAAGCATCAATTTTATCATGAGACGACTTAGTTTTTATAGTCAATGAACATGTTTGATGGAGACTAGATGATTAAGAATTTTGAAATAAACTAAATAGTTACCTATAAATTTTATGGACTAAATTACTAAAAATAAAAAAGTTGAAAGAACGAATTCACCGCTGTATGGTTGATCGGCGATTACTAGTGATTTCAGCTTCATGCAGGCGAGTTGCAGCCTACAATTCGAACTGAGGACGGGTTTTTCGAGTTAGCTCACCCTCACGGGATCACGACCCTTTGTCGTGTAGCAAATGAAATATTTGAGGGACTAAAATGTTAATCTTAGGAGAGACCAAAAAAGATGCTCACATTGAAACTGATCATATTTCCATTACTATAGCCTGTAAGTATCTACATGAAGAAGAGTAGTAGCAAACCTCTGATTACCTATTTCCTTCATGAGTGATAGGGGTGGCTTAATTTATACTGCAAGAGAAGCAACTTTGCTGGGTATAATAATCATGTCATGAAGTGATGAGATCGATATCTACAATCTATAAATGGCTATTGAACTGATATAAACAGATGAAAATGTGAAAGGGTGTTCTAACTTATCCCATCAGCCTTGAATCCTGAAATTTCTGCGAGCTCTGACAGATCTTTCTCCCCACTCAAAACCTGCAGGAAACCAGAATTTGATGATACAATTAGAAGTAAAAACATCCTAACAAGGAAGAAAAGGGAGCATGTAGCTCTAGCTCAGACAGTTCATGAAACTTTTACACCAGAAAAGAAGATCCAGAGAAATGTTTAAGGAGGCGATTGGTTGCTGCTACTCTAAGCACCTTGTTTCTAGTTATCTATGATCCACCATGCAATGAGTACCAAAACACAGATCTTAGGGATATTCTTTTCACGGGGATACTTTTACATTCTCGAGCATACTTTTACATTCTCGAGCATTTTCAAGAATCTCACTCATCTCTCTCGTACTAAATTCTCTCCAGGGATACTTTTACACTCTCGAGCGTTTTCAAGAATCTCACTCATATCTCTCTCTTACTAAATTTTCTCCAAAACTGCCTCATTTAACTATCTCTATCAATATATATGAGATCTCACTTTGTTGGAGAGGGGAACAAAACATTCCTTATAAAGGTGTAAAAACTTCTCCCTAACAGACGTGCTTTAAAACCTTGAGGGGAAGCCTAGAAGAAAAAGCCTAAAGAGGACAATATCTGTTAGCGGTGGACTTGCCCGTCGTCAATATGTGTGTGTGTAGTGGTGGTTAAATTTAGTGCAATCGAGTCTAGCAAGTACAATAAGAAAAATAGTGACACGACCATAGCATTCGTAAGTGTCCTGGAATAGTAAACATTGCTAATTATAAAGATTGCACAGGAATGTAAACAAAATGCCCCTTAACTTGTGCTTTTTTACCTGCCCGTTAATCACCCATGTTGGGAAGCCTTCAATTCCAACTTCTGAACAAGCTTTCTCTATCTTAGTGCCTTTATGATACCCATTGGGGAAACATTCTACATAGTCTAATAGTTTTGCTGCCTCACGTCCAAACATCTGTGTTGACAGCAAGATAGCATATAATTGATAGTCATTGTCTAACTTGCAAGCAAATTCATGAGCCCAACGGTAAAAATGAAGCAATAATGATCAACATGTAATGTCAAAAGTCTATGTATAGTTTGATAGTGTGGCCGTGAAGGCTCAGATAAGTGCCACCGCCACAAGATTATTTTATCGCATTACTCAGTCAAGTCATTGCCATTTTACAAATGGAGAAAGTACCTCTTTCTGTTCTACACAATGTGAACACCAAAAAGCTCCATACATTTTGGCCCCGATAGAGTGCAGATGCCTCGCAAGGGAAATGGACAGAGCGTTCGATGAATTTGTTAACTCGGTTTCGAAGTATGGAAGGTCAAGTTCAGCAGCACTGCAAAGTAAAACAAACAAAAAGACTTCCAATAAATTATAAGAAATGAAACCAAAAAGAAGTCATATATCTATTTCAAAATAATAATAAGAAAATGAGTATAGATCATCTGAGATTTGAATATATATATATATATATATATATATATATCAACCAAAAATGGATCTCATGTTCCAAAACAATATTGAAATGATTTATAACTTCAGCAACACCAAATATCATGATAGCTCCTAAGTAACCAAGATCAAAAGAATTAGCATTCTAAGGTTCATGATGACAAGGAATCAAAAACAAGGATGCATACTTTTCTCTTCCACGCAGCAATGGAAAAGTATAGACATCAAAAGTCAAACGCTCAATTGTTAAAGAACACATGAACCAATGAGAATAGCCCTTTAGCTATTTCAAGATCTTTTGTAACACACACCTTTGAGAACTAGGTAGGGAACCATTATATGAGGTAGAAAGGGTGATAAAAACCACGCTAGCGATAAATATCTGAGAGCCCAATCGTCTCATAGACTCTTGCAATCCAAAATCCTAAGCCATCACCGCAAGAAAAGTTCAGAAATGCATGAATCAACAATATTCTTCCATCAAAAAAGATACCCAAAATACAAAGCAAACATTAATAAAAGTAAAAGACCTTCAGAACGGCAAAGAACAAGCTGAATGACAACAGAGCGGATACTAGGCAATATGAGCATGACACTCCTGAAAATTTTGTGTTCAGAATGTATAGAAAGTATGCACTGGCAGTAGCCATAGAGGTAGTAGCGCCAAGCATGACTAAACGACCATCAGATTCATCAATACCAAAAGGCAATTTCTTTTCTGCCAACTGCAAACTAATTGCTCCTACTAAGCCATACGCCACCATTCCAATCAATGGCAGTGGTACACCTTGTAATTGCAAAAGCATAGTTATTAACAGGCAAGATACACAAAATTTCCAAGAAAAAATGGAGGGGGAGACATGAGAATAGACGCATTGACCAACATAAAAGGAGATTTGTTAGTCAAGTAAAATGATGAATTAGATGAACAGATTGAAAAAAAATACCAAAAACAGCAGCATAATCACTGTTAAGAACGTTGTCGCAGCTTCCACCACCAATTGGGCAAAAGGCAGCTGAATCAGTGAGCTTGACGTAACTCAAATACGCAGTTTCAACGAATCCAATCCCGCCCAAAGCAGCACATAAATTATCCGTCAAATTACTCAAAATTGATGGAGAAGAAGACGCTGAGGACGTTGACTCAGCTTCCGGCTCAGTATCCTGATTAGTTCCATTGGACAAGCAAAATACAGGAACCACAAGCCGTCCCCGAATCAAATCTCTTTGGTGCTTGAAAGAATCATATCTTTGATGAAAAAGAGAAAGATTCTGGCGAGAACAAGGTCTCGGAAACGAGCATGGAAGACAGGGTAGAGTGGCGGAGCACGCCATTTCCTCCTCCCGATTGTACGCAACCGGGAAATGAAAGAGAGACGAAGACGAGCTTTCAGGGACGATCAAAATGCAAAAATTGAGGCCCATTGGGCCTAATGGCCCAATAATCATATTGCCTTTTATTTTTCTTTTGTTATTTTTTATTTTTCTCATTTATTTTTCTTTTTTTTCATTTACTTTTCGTATAAATAATTCTTCAATTTATAAATAAATTTTTTTATATAATTTTATTAAATTAATTTATTTAAGTATGATATATGAAATAAAAGTAAATTTTAATTAGTTAAATTATTTTAATAATTTAATTTGATAATAATAAAAGAACCAACATCATTTAATTAATAAAATTGTTTAAAATAACTGTGGAAACAAACCAAAATACTATTTATGTGTATAAAATATTATTTAGAGAGGTTAGAAATAGAAATAATAACAATAAATAATAAACTTATATATATATATACCTGTATATATATATATATATGTGTGTGTATACATGTATATATATATTAGACTTTAAATGTAATTTTTAAATTAAATTAGTTAAGTTTTAAATTCCCATTTAAATTAAGGACTATATTATATTTTTTTTAATTGTCAAAGAATAATTGTAATATTAAAATTTTAATTTTTAAAAATTATATTAGTAGAGAAGATTATTAAGACTTTTTTTATATAAATTTTTAATAAAAAAAATATTAAAAAAATAAAAACTTTCAAATAACTATTTTATTTAGAGAATAATAAATAGAAAAATTATTGGTGGGAATCCAATTCTTGCAAATTTGGGAATCTAAGATTCCTGTAAATAAAAAATAAATAAATAAATAGAGAATTTTGACAGGAGGAGAATAAAACACGGTTACTTTATAAATTTTTTTTTTAAAAAAAAATAAATATTTATATTTTGTTTCAAAATTACAATATTACTTTTAATATTTATAAACATTTCAAAGTATAAAATATTTAAAATTTAAAACGACAATTTTTTTTTTTAAAAAAAGTATAAAAGTAGGGAATATTTTTTTTATTATTTAACCTCAATTTAATTCATGAATTTAATGATTTTCATCGTCATTTTTATTTCATTTATAATATTAATTAATTCAATACATCAACATCTTACAAAATTTAATATATGTCCACGTCACCATGTTATTACACGTATTCAAAATTTCAAATAAAATGTTGATAAGAATTAATATGGGCGAGAGGTGCTTTCAAATCATGTCCAAAATTGATTTTAATTCTTT